CACCAAGCACCTAAAGGAACATTGTCTGGTAACCTCTTGTTTGACTTACATGTTTTCATGCATTATAATCTGGATCTCAGTGCAAGTTGCTTTTTTCTTCAAACTGCAGTACTTTGAAAATAAAACACATCTTTTACTATTATTTAACTATTATTTAATATTTCTTTAAAATCTTGTTTTTATCAACTCTATTTGTATAGTTATTTATTGTTTGATTCTGTGAAATATACAGACAGCATCAAACATCCACCAGATTCAAGTCCTGCAGTGTTTTAGTAAGAACGTACAGCAATTTAAAAATAGTAACAAAGATCATACTTACAAAGGTTGAAATGTCTTTAAATCCTATTTTGTAAAATTAATGGTTCAGCGGTAAAATATTTGCTCTCTATCCTTTACGAAGCAGAATCACTTGTGGCATTTCTTCTCCCCTCAAACGCTCAGCACACGGTGCCGGCTGAGGTGTCAGGGTGGAAAGTTTGAAGAATTTGAACAAAAAGAATATAAAAAGCTCCAAAAAACCCCACCAAACTGCACCTTCTGGCTGGATTGGGGTGATTAATCCCCCTTCCGAATTTATATGACAGATTTATAGAAAGAGCTCTGGATCAAATGTGATTTCATCACAAAAGCTGAGAATGACTCAACAAGTTAGCAAATTCTCTTTGAGACAATTTCAAATGTTATATTAGAAATATCCCTGAATGACTTTTGTTCACAAATCAATGTGTCATATATTTAGACTTCTCACATGGCTATACTGCACAGTCTGCTTTAAGGATGCCACTTATTTGTCTGTCTCTGTTTCTTAGTAAAAGTAATGAACCAGATACAATCTTAATAAGTGTCTCTGAAAGCCTTCTGGACGTTCCTTGGTATTCATGCAGATCGTGCGTCCCCCAGCTCTGCTGTCAGGTGATGATCACAAGACCCAAGGCTTAATCCTCCTCAGTGCTACAAAAGCAAGAACACAAGTTAGAGGCGCTCTTAATGTGCGTGTAACCGACTGGAACACGACATAATCCCCCTTTAACTGTTTCCACAGATGTTAAAACCATCGAATTTAAAGATACACAACTGGGGACCATAGCGCACCGAGATTCCACACTTCTCGGGGGAACCAATCGGCAGTATTTTTGCTGAAAGTTTGATCTGCGGACCGATTTATCGCCACCAGCCGACGGAAGCAAACAGGTGAAATATGATGAACGCTCTGTGCTTTGGTCTTGTCTTTTTGATCCTCTGGCCTGAGCCTGCGGGGGCTCAATTCCCTCGAGTGTGCTGCACAGTCCAGGGAATCGTGTCCAAACAGTGCTGCCCCGCTCTCGGCCCTGATCCTGCCAACGTGTGCGGCTCTCTGTCGGGGAGAGGGAACTGCTCGGCTGTTAGAGTCGACGGCAAACCCTGGGGAGGACCGTACAGACTGAGAAATGTGGATGACAGAGAGAGGTGGCCGACTAAGTTCTTCAATCAGACCTGCAGATGCACCGGTGAGTCACGTGCGCTTTCATTGAACATTCCACTGTTTGATGCTGAACCCTGTAAAAAGCATTAACGGCATCGATACGATTTGACACGTCACCGCTGGGTCTCTGTGTTTCAGGTAACTTTGCAGGTTACGACTGTGGTCAGTGCAAATTTGGCTGGACAGGATTAAACTGCGACCAGAGGAAAGCCCCCGTGCAGCGAAAAAACATCCACTCCCTGACCCCCGGAGAGCTGCAGGAGTTCCTCAACGTCTTGGAACTGTCCAAGACCACCACACAGCCAGACTACGTCATTGCCACCCAGCATTGGCTGGGACTGCTGGGACCAAATGGAACTGAGCCCCAGTTCGCCAACATCTCCATTTACGACTTCTTTGTGTGGCAGCATTACTACTCTGTCCGAGACACTCTACTGGGTAAATCAGGCCACCTCTCTAAGATAAAAACTGTTGTGACTGGGGGTTTCATGTGGTTGATCTTATTAGAAAACTTATAGCAATTTTATATAATTACAACCAATTTGGATGTGTGTCGCTTTATTAAAACTATTTCTGGCAGCGCTGTCTTTTTGCTCCAAACATTTATAAATTATATCAGTTAATGCCGTTTGTAAACCTAACTCATAATACTTTTAACATTTATTTTTCTTGATCATATTTTTTAAATATGTCCTTGTTGCTGCGTTTCTCTTACAGCTTTGAAATAAGAAAACATCAGCAACATGCATTGTTAGTTTTTGCTAAAAAATAAAACAATTAATTTCAGTGGGGCAGTAAATGATGTTTTGAGTGTTTTGACTGTGACTTTAACAATGTTAATTATCTTGAGAAATTCAAATATTTGTTTTAATAATATCCTGATTTTATAAAATCAGAGAGCTCATCAAACACTGTCTTTCTTGCAGGCCCCGGTCGTCCGTTCAAAGCAATTGATTTCTCACACAAAGGACCAGCATTCATCACCTGGCACAGATATCACCTCCTCAGCCTGGAAAGAGAGTTACAGGTATGTGCAATATTGTGGAAACATACTCTTTAACTACTAGTATGACCAGATGGGATCAGAAATACTTATACTAATTATTTCCTAACTATTTAACCAGTTTATCAATCAATGAGATTTTGCATACATTCTGAAAAGGTCTGAAAGGTCTTTGCATCAAATGGTTGAATGCAATCTGCTCCGAGGAGCAGGTAACCATCCTAAAGGGGGTTTCATTTGTATCACATACAGCAAAGTTGTTTTTGTCACATACAGCCCTTCCTTTAAGATTAATGCTTGAATGAATATGGAAGATTTTGAGGACATTAATAATTGGTCCAAAATGTTTAAAAAATGGCTGCGAGAGACAGGAAATCTTTGGAAAAATAAGTTGAGGATGTAAAGATTTGTGACTGTATCCAGACTGAGGAAGTCACAGTTCTAGTGCAGCAATCAGGGCTCGGACATTAATCATCTTAATTCCATGTTGATGACCAAAATAAACATTTTTAAAAATAATGTCAACTATAACTATTGCCTCCAGAGATTGACTGGCAATGAGAACTTTGCGATCCCATACTGGAACTTTGCCACCGGGCAAAGGGAGTGTGATGTTTGTACCGACTCTCTGCTTGGAGGCCGGAACCCAGACAACCCGTTCCTCATCAGCAACCAGTCCAGATTCTCCAGATGGGGGGTGGTATGTGACAGGTCAGCACAAAACCCTGATCGGAGGAGAAACACACCAAATCATTATTGTTTAGATTACAAAGAAATTGACTGTTTATGTTGGTTTTTAATGGGAGAAAACTACAATGTCTCTATTTTTTCATTCATTTCCAGTTTGGATGAGTACAATCGCCTGGTGACTCTTTGTAATGGCAGCAGCGAAGGTTTCATTCAGAGGGGGGTAATGGGGGCAGGAAACACGTCGCTACCCACCATGACCGATGTCAGAAGCTGCCTTGGAATCCGAGACTTCGACAGCCCTCCATACTTCACCAACTCCTCCTTTAGTTTTAGGTACGACTGCACTCTAATCATATGAAACGTATACCTGTGGTCCATTATCAAAACTCCTGTTCAACGGACTTTGTCACCAACAGAAATGCTCTCGAGGGGTATGAAAGGCCAGATGGAGAACTGGACGAATCCGTCAGTAACCTTCACAACCTCGTCCACTCCATGCTCAATGGAACCAGCGCTTTGTCTCACTCAGCGGCCAACGACCCCATCTTTCTGGTCAGAGTCTCAGTTTGCCTCACTCTCAGTTTCCACGACAGTGGTTGCTGTTGGTTAAAACCCGGTGTTTTCTTCCGGTCGTTTGTCCCGCAGGTGCTCCATTCTTTCACAGATGCGATTTTTGACGAGTGGATGAGGCGGTTTGTTCCATCCAATGCCACCTTCCCAGATGAGATGGCTCCCATTGGGCATAACAGGGACTACAACATGGTTCCCTTCTTCCCTCCCATCACCAACGAGGAGATATACGTTACATCTGAGCAGCTGGGATACTCTTACGCAATTGCCCTGGATGGTAAGCAAGTGATGAAATAATGATATTATAGAAATATTACTCGACTGTCATGTTTGAATAGTGGATGTGATTTTAGCTTAGCTTGGCATATCGGCTGTAAACCGGGAAAACTGTTCCTGTCTCTGGAAAGATAAATAAAAACAGAACATCTAAAGTTCACCAATTACCATGTTTTTTTTTGTTTTTATGTTTGTCAAAATTCTATAATCATCGTGCAGTTCCATTATAGTTGTCTCAGCTGTTCCTATTAATGGCTCGACCTGTATTGTATGGTAGTAAATGTTTTCTGCCGGAAATAAAGCATCTCTCCACCTGTGCTTCATCGTTGCAGATGCAGATGCAGATGGAGGGCCGCCTGTATTTGTGCTGGGCTCCACTCTGGGGGGCGTCTTCATTGGTCTCTTGGCGCTTCTCCTTGTTTTTGTGCTCTACCTGCGTCAACGAAGAAACAGAGGCTTCGAACCCCTGATAAAAGCAGACTTTACAAACAGAAAGTACACAGAGGAAGCCTAGATTTTCTTAGTTCTCCAAAGTGCTTAAATACCTACCTGAGGGAGATGGAGAAGCCATCTATTGGCCATAATGTGATGCAACAGAAAAACATATAAAACAAATCTAATTAGAACATATTAGATAACATATAGAAATATCCCAAGACCATTAACGATGAATGTATACTTTAACTGGTTTAGTAACAATCTTTTTAGTTTTGCTGAAAAAAAGCATTGGTCCTGTTTACATTTTATGTGAATTTTACTAAACAAATTTACAATAGTTTTATTGGAATTTTTCAATAAATATTTATTCTCAATAACAGTAACAAAACAATGCAATCATCTCAATTGCACTGGAAAACAGTAAGGCATATTTGCTTAACTAGTTCTATACCTCCCCTCATTAGGATTTGACTTTGTACAGAAATACATTGTTAAAAAAAGTGGATTTATAACCTTTCCTTCTACCTATAAATTTCAGATAATTTGTCTCACCAGACATCCATTTTCGATATTTTATTGCAAAAATATTACCATTAAAAGTTGAATGATACAAAACATAAAAAGGGCATCCTGTTAAGAGATCATTATTCATAATAAAGAATCCTTTTAAATGATACCCATGACATATTTCTTTTTTTCTGTCCGTGCAATGTGGATGCAAACGCTGACTGAAATAAAATAAAGAAAAAGCTTAAGTATCCACTGGTATACTGCAAAGGGAAAAACACTGGTTAACTCCTTGAATGTGTAAGCTTAGGCCTGTTGTTATGGAGCTGGCGGGCTCTCAGAGAACAGTGGGCGTACATACAGGATGGTTTTTCCCCCCCACAGTAGTGCCAGGCCTCTCACATTCTCTGTAAGTGCGCTCTACTGAGGAGCCTCACTGAAGCATTCAGGCCTGTCCAGTCTCCACAGATTCTCATTTCACAGGTGACTGTGGTCGGCTTCCAGTCAGACACGACCATTCAAGCTTTGCAGATACATCGAGGGGGCCTTTCTTTGCATTTCCTGTAACCACTGTGTGCCGTTTGCAGCTTTAACCTCTGTTAATAATTCCCCCACACTGTGAATACCTGTGGTAATACATTTACAGAAATAGCAACACTTAACATATGAGTCCTGCTGACAGTGTTTCAGTTTTGTTCCTTTTTAAACACTACAATACATTGTAATAGTTATACCTGTTTGTGTGCACGCAAATCCAGTATTTCTTGAACTTCTAAAATGCGTAATGTTGTTAAAATACAGGCAGTCAACCGTCTTCTCTGATGGTAATTCTGTATTGAAAAAGTGTGCTTTTTTTGCTGCAAGTCCATTTACACATTTATAGACCACGGTCAAGATTTTCAATCACTGCGCCTTTACAAAGCGTATTAATATCGGCAGATGTGTTTTACACATTTTTTATAAAATGGTTAATTTGATTACCTCTCTATTGATGGACTTTGTGTGCAGATCAAGAGTGCTGGTAGGAACATAAAACAAATATATTATTGATTAAGGAAAACATATATGTCAGAGAGGATTCTATTTTGTCAAGACCTCTCAGGCATCAATTCATTAATTACACACCGGGACATGCACCCCACCCCACAACACTACAGAACCAGCATCACTATGATAGAATGACTCTCTATTGCTCCACATTAATTATGTTGAGGCTGTTAACTCCTGACGTCAAGCTTGAGAAACCAGCGTGATATGATAATATTCTCCAGATAATACATTTTTTGCAAGGCAAATGAGTATGAAAAAAAAATCAAAAATATCCCTTTTAACAAAATGTTAAAATAGCTCTTGAACACAGCAGACCTATGACTTTGAATTTGCTGAGAAATCAAATATAAAGCAACGTGATTTAGTGGCTGAATCTGATGAAAAACAGAAAAATGATTGGCACATCATTTAATGGCAATGGAACGAGGATGCAATCCAAAAATGGTGTAAACCGCATGTTCCAGATTGTCCGCCATTGTCCCTTGTATTTGTTTCAAAACATAATATAAACCAAATATTACATATTCTTCGGCCTCTTTTAGGTACATCAAATAACAACATCCTCAACAATTTCCATCACAAGACAATTTTGGCATAAAAATAAAAAAGTGCGTGTTATATATTTCCACATTGAGATCAACATTAATGTCTGCCATATGCGCAAGAAATCTCTGAAGCAGTTTGCTGGGGTTGGCATCCGTGATAGGTGGTAAAGTGATGCCCTAAAATGTCAAGTCCAAGGATCTTTGGAAAAGTGGGATATCATGATACGACTTCTCTTCTTCAGGGCAGACTCCTTCCAGACATGGCAGCCTATTTCCTATTTGGTTGACTGTATCTGCCTGAATACAAAAAACTGCAAAAAAGAAAGGAAGAGCCCCCCAGCATGTCCACGTTTGGCCGGTTCCTTCAACATTATCTCCATTGCCGGTGGAGTGCCAGGGTCGAGAGGGCCAGCATGGTTGGCAGGGCTAGGGAGGGAGCGCAGAGCGGGGCCGAGTCAACCACAGGCCCGCTGCGGTCGGCCTCCACCACCGGGGCTTCGGTGGCAGCGACGTCCATGTCGGTGGGGCCGACCTCTGTGCTGCCGCTGCCACTGCCTGAGCTGCTGCCTTCGTCACCTGCCACACAGAACACAAGCCAAACTTTTTTTTTGTTTATGTGTATAAAATGTCAATGGGTGTGTGCGGCAGATGATGATGGTGAACACGGTGTCCTTTAAAAAACGTAGCATGTGTCACATGGGTCTACATGTAAAATGTAAAATTGCTTACTTGAGTCTTGAAAGTAGATATCGTTGCCATGGTAAGCGTTTTTCAGCTTGTTGGTCATCACCCTTAGAGCCATGATCTGCTGGCGGATTTGCGTGTCTGGGCGGGTGATGTCCACGCCCACCTCGGGGTTGTTCACCTGGTGGGTCAGTCCATCCTTTTGAACTTCAGGAAAGTACCTTTAGGTCAAATATACAAGAAATGAGATGAACTATATGTCTTGTTTCTGACAAGAATCTTGTTAAAAGGAAAACAAATCTAATGAGAAAAACTAATATTTTGTTGTTTTATGACATCTATTTATTATACAGCACTTGAGAATTGCTCTTTGAGGTGATAACAGTAATACCTGAACTTGACCCAATCCGTTAAACCTAATAAGTAATATTCTGACATATTTGTGGTTCCCCAGGGAAACCATGTCAGCTGCCTGCATTCCTGTCTGATAAACAAGTAGCAGGCCAACATGTGAGGCCATTCCATATATCGTCAAACACAACAGCGTTTGTTCCCCATAAGCCCGGGTCACTCTGCTGGGGACCTCTGAAGGAGTTTCACCATCAGCATGCAGCTCCCACATGCAACACCAATAACAGGGTGAAATAATCGGCTTCAATTGTTATTCATAGAATTTAAAACACAAATGCTGATCAAACTGTACATCACACATGGTGTGAAAAAATGTTGCAAAAATGTTTAATTTTGTTCTCAGCCATGGTGGCCGGCATTTGGAGCACAAATATTTTCCCGGAAAATGAAATCAGATTATTACAAAGATGGCTGCAAATGTTCGAAAATTAAGAATCTCAAATAAAAAAATCCTCTGCAAATTCAACCTCATAGTATAATACAATGTAATCAGAATGATTAACTCTTGTATTTAAGAGACAACCTAATTTTCTTGAGTTGAAAAAGTGTGCCAAGCTTTTTGCACCGTCAAATTCTAATCTGGTCCTTTATTCTGGGATTAGACTGATTAAGATTAGTCGAGTTGAACAGACTTTGGACTCCGTAGAGACTTTGTTGTGTTGGTCTGCCCCGGGTCCTGGGCCCCGGTGCACTGACCTGCCCTGGGTGTGTCCGTTCCAGCAGTCCTCATCACTGGCATTTCCAGCGGTCACTCTGTCCTCCACACACATCGCCTCCGGCAGGTTGGACCAGAACTTCTTTGACAGCTTCAGTTTCTCTTTTATGTCAACGACCTAAGCAATGAGAGGGGCTGTTAGATGGGAGTCTGTGTAAACAAATCAGGTCTGTGTTCAAATATAGCAGATGCAGCCTGAAGAGTTAAAAATGAAAAAGATAAAAACATATGTAAGAAAAGATAAGAGACAAACACAATTTGTTAATGAAGCGTGTTTTAGAGTAAGCAAGTAAATAAGTAAAAGGACCAATGCCTTTTCTTTTGAAAGGTGATAACAGACAGCTATTCCTCTAATTATGCTGAAGCCTTTAAAGTATTGGAACAATCCTTATGTCCTATATATATATCTATATATATATCTATATATATAGATATATATACACCCTATGACACCATATATATGACAAATGGTAAAAAGCTTAAGTCTTTTTATACTCTCACTCATCTCATTCGTGAACTCATTATAAAACTGCCCCGTCGTTGTTTATTGCCACATCTTATCAAAAGGATTATAAATCTTGGGATATAACCCTGAGACATCTCAACTCCCCAGAGATTATTTGGGTTTAATTTTCCTCCCACGTTGAATATCGAATGTTTGCATCATGAAAAGTAAAACCATGCAGGCTCGCAGCAATAATTTCAGCTTGAATGTCAGACTCAAATGCTCCTTTGCATCCCGGCCATGTGACACAGTCAGATATCGTTTCCTGACTTGAGCCTGTTGAACTCCAATCTTTCATCAAACACAAAATTTGACATATTTCACTGAAGCCCAGGGAAAGCGTGATAGCGGCAGGTCGGCCCATTATCTTTTTCTGTCTGACTCGCTGCTGGCTTACGTGAAATTGTGGTGAACCTGAGCAGAACATGAAAGGTGCTGTACTGACTGTGTGACGCTGCTGTAGGCCCCGACTCTGCTTTTGATGTGTTAATCCTGTCACACTGATGCCAAAGCACTTCAGCGGCTCTGATGCTGCCCAGAGGGTCAGGGCTGCACTCAATGCAGCAGATTGACTGGAAATGTTTGACTAAACCTCACACATTAAGTTTACTTTAACAAGGGAGAGATTCACCTTCTTTTTTTTTTTCACAGGATCTGCTGGCAAAACCTGTCCAGAAAAAAAAGTGTGAACCAGAAGGTAAAACTCACTTTCGAGAGATATTTAATCACATGACTGGAAATAGACGTTTATTTATTTATTCATTTAATGTGTCGAGATGACAGAAAAAGTCTTAACGGTTACAACTTCTATTCAAACATTTTCCATCGTACCGATTCACTGAGCACCGAGTGTTTCCTGCTTCAACCGACTCTCGTCTGAGACGGATACTTGAAAGAAATCCACTGGGTTGCAGATAAAAGTACGAGGTGAAACCAAAATACATCAAATGTATGGAGTAGGCTCCAAGTGAGACGAGGAAAGGTGTAGATTTTTCCCACAATAATAAATGTTCTTCTGGGAGAAGCCTCCCTCTCACTTCAATGCACATTGCTCATGAATAACTAATACGCCTGCAACCGGCTGAGATGCACACTAGATGGCACTATGTCTTTGAGAAAATGGGGAGACGCATGAAAGCAACCAGACAGAATACACACAGAGGAAATTGGGGTAAAACCGATCATGTTTGCTGAAGATGTTGCTTTCACATCCAACTTCAAATTCACACAAATCTCCATGTGGTCTAACATGAAGAATGTAACTGCCCAAGGAATTACATTCTATAATAAATAGAACAGCGCAATAAGAAATCGTCAGTATTAACAGGAAATCACGCCCTAGTATCATATATAGATATAAATATATCTGTATATATACGGAAAGAGAGCAAGGCCATGTACAAACCTTTTGAAATATATTAAACAACTTGAACAAACTTTTAAACTGTAACCAGCAACAGGCTTAGTCCTAAAATATGAACAAAGAATCAGATTTAAAATGCCTTCTTTATGATGTCATGTGAACAAACAATTCTCTTCTTTAACTTATTTCTTGCTCCAGAACTCGTCTTTCAACGATAGTGCTCTGCAAATCCTGTGAGTAAACATTTTGTCTTGTCGGCCCATATGACAGAACCATTATTGAGTATTACACAGTAACGACACCATGAATGTCTTCATTTAAATAACTACCACACTTCATGATAATAATCATCGGTAATCTTAAATGACAATATGAGCCCCGTAGTTTAGTCACATTCTACACACACTTCCTCTCTCTTTGTCACGTACCATCACTCTACTTTACATTTTGTACTATATATGTACATATACATATAGTTTTGTTTCACATTTTGAAGTTTTAAATATTTCAGTGGAATAATTTAGTCTTTCCTTGGTTGTGGGACTGACATAGTTAACATGAAGAACAACTGTTTAGAAATATATAGTTTCACTGTTCAAAAAAGGCTCTGTGATCTTTTTTTAACAGCTGGCCGCTTCAACGAACTTTTCTCAAATAATAGCAAATTGTGCTTTTGCTGGGGACTGTTTTCAGTAGCAGATCAATACACATTTGGTGCCCTTGAGTGTGCAGCAGGACGGTGTTTGTAGGATTATCTCAAAATAAAGTACACCAGCCTTGTTTATTGAAGGAATGTGCCAGAGCAACTAATTGATGAGCTTTTAAATAGTTTTCGCACAGCAATGCAGCTCTATGGCACTGAGGAATATCGTCAGATGAAGCATCAAGTCGTTGGTTTTTGTCTTTTCTGACAACGATGCCAAAAACATGGAATCTCAGAAGACTCATCTGCTAAACAAATGTGTGTTACGCTGAATCAAAGATAGATTTGTGTGTAGGAAAAAAGCTGCAATGCGGAGTAGTTTTTCTAACTCCTCCTTTACTCAAACCTATTTTTCCTCCTTTGCCCTCTATCTCCTAGTCATGAAGCATACATGAATCCATGCTGTTTCTCTGGTATTGTCAGCCCCCTTGCTAGGTCTCTTCTCTCTTTGGTCTTTCTGTCCTAAGTGAAAGTGAGGGTTTCGGCCCCCTGATCTTTAACTAGACTCCTCTTCAAAAAAGCTTTGTGAAAAGAAGCCCCGGGTCTTTCTTTCAGCTGTAATATTACAGACGCGTGCTCTTTATCTCTGCATTGTTTAGCATCTGTCGTCTCCCATCCCTTTTCCTCGAGTACCAAAATGGAAATGAGCTGTAATTCTTCTACCTCAAAATTGGATTCATCTTCTAATTAATATCAATTCAAACATCGACGTAATGAAATCAGTCATGGGTGATTTTCTTATCTCATCTTGTGCTCTGTCCGTCCCCTTTGTAGCAGGAAACAGGAAGTCTAGCAGCTGAACCTGGCTAAAGAAGATTCATTCATGCAATAAACAGCCCTGAAACGTAACCCATAATGCACCACAGCTCACAGAGCTTAAAGCGCCACCATCCAAACGTTGCCCCACTTTTGCTTTCCTTTGAACAATGAACCCACTCAAACAAACCGCGATGTTTACCAGCTGTGTGAAAATAATTGGCCATCTTGAATGGACAAACACCAGGAAAAGTTGACAGAGAATTATCATTTGCAAAAACAACACTAGGAATCAATGAGACGACGGATGTAGCTGGTTCACAGTCTGTGTTTACAGACACTCCGAAGGTGTCTCGCTATCTATTTAACATCAGTCTTATTTAGAGCACACACAGTAGGATAATATTAGTAGCAGTACATATTGTGATACGAGACTAGATGTTGTCTTAGCTATCGTAATATTGTATTGTATTGGTTTCCGTTAACAGGTGGCCGCTCAGACGTGCGGGGGAACAGCGTTCCGACCGACCGGTGGTTCTCTGATGCCTTTTCTCGGATCCAAAGCTAACGTGTCACTGGCTTTGGAGCTGTAGTCACACTCACAGCACAAACGTCAGCAAACCTAAGCTCCTGCCCGGCCTCAGGATGACGCCCGGAGCGCTAACCGCCTTTGAAAAAAGGGTAAAATTCGCTCAAATGTTCATCCTCAGAACACGTTGGACTCACACTGCTGCCAGAGTTGAACTATAGTGTTCATCGCTCTGTCAGCTGGTAAATCTCCCTCCGTCTCCCACGCAAGCCTTTCCCAGTCAGGTGAGGCATTCTGAGTCTCGCTTACGATCCTCTATCCCGTTAAATGAACAATAACTGACTTTTTAAGGAATCATCTGGGGGTGTTGGCACGGCGCATGTCCCTCCGCTGCATGTCCGGGCTGAATTAGCGCATGTTCAATCTAATCATAGACTTGGCAGCGAGTAAAACCACCAGAGGCAGACGACTCCTCCATTAACTTATTTTCCCTGGCAACTGCTCATCTTGTCTGCGTTAAAATAGTTTTGTCATTCGATACGAATGGCGTTTTCCTCCTGCGTCTCAATTACAGAGGTCAGGGAGTTGCTTCTGCTCCCACCAGGACCTCGGCCCCCGCCATAAAGTCTCACCAGGACCGGTGACCACTTGGAGAAGTAAGAATATCTCCGCCTCTTCATCACATTCTTGATCTCGTTATATTGTTGACGGAGCCAATTCCAAAAGATGAATGCACGCTGCTCGCTAAGTTCCGGTGCACTACGGGTACCGTGTAGCGTATCACATGCTGACGCCTGCTGGTAGGACATGGCTACTTAATCCAATGTCTAAAATATCACAAAAAGTCCCATTTTATTTGTTCAGGTCGACTCGTAAAACACGGGATTCTCTTAACCAAGACCTGCCATCTGGACCGAAGCCCCTTTAGAAATAGTGTCGATCAGCCCAAAGCAAACCGAGTAAATCACCTCTGTGATAATGTTTGGAGTACGTCAGTATGTTAGCTCTTTATTTTGTCCTTGCCTGGAAACATTCTCCTCAAATGTGACCCGCATTGCTCCTCGGAGCAGCTACCAGAGTGCGTATACTGTAGATGTGGGCTGCTCTGACCAATCAATATCCATCAACAGAGGGCAAACGAAAGAATGTTTCTCCTCAGTGGCTCCACAATGGACGAGGCCGGGATGACATCGCCCAACTGTTTGTCTTGCAGCGCTCACACGGATGGGAATAGTTCACCACCGCAAATCATGTTTAGAAAA